ATCATACTCCCTATAAGTTGTTGCATACAACAAGCAACCATAATAGACTACTTTTCTCTTAGCAGTAGTACAGTCCTATCACAGTGTTAGTCAACATGTCAAGACATGTGGCATGACATCAGGACAACTCTTTTAGCCGAAACTTGACAAAAATAGAGTAAATGTACAATAAAATTAGAAGCACACAATGCATACAAGCATAAACACAGATGGAAGCACAAAAGAACAATTAGAAACAAACAAAATTCATACGGAAGCACACAATCTTGACCATCTTCAGGTGGTATTCCACCTCTTACCCCTGTCAAAGATCCTTCTTCACCTCTTGTTGCTATCACCAGCTCTTATATCTTCATAGATATTTTGTTCCATATTTTATCAATAACAATTTATATAGGCTTATCATGCCCCAGAGAATAGCGAAAAGATGCAGTGATTGTTGCATTCCTCCATTTCCGTAGCAAAGCATATAAGGTATTTAATAAAAGGTTACATTATGGAAGAATTCGTGCATGTCTCCTTTAATGAATCCTGTCCAAAAATGGTCGAAAAGGGTATTTCTTTTAATGGTGCGGGTGCTTCTTCGGAAAGGATACTCAATGATCAAGATGAAAAGAGTAATGAGCATATACTTGAGAAAGAAAAAGGGGAGATGGATCATGTGTCTAGCAAAGAAGAAGAAGACACTCAACCAACAAATGAAATAAATCATCCTTTGGAGTGGAAAGAAACCAAGGATCATCCCATTGACAACATTCTTGGAGACATATCAAAGGGAGTAACTACATGGTCTAAGATAAGTAACTTTTGTTATCATTTCGCATTCGTCTCTCAAGTTGAGCCTAAAAACCCTAAAGAAGCTTTATTCGATGAACATTGGTTTTTGGCAATGCAAGAAGAATTAAACCAATTCAAGAGAAATGAGGTTTGGGACCTTGTCCCCCCTCCGTGAGACCATCGAATAATTGGTACTAAATGGGTATTTAGGATCAAACTTGACGAAAACAGAATCATAATTCGCAACAAGGCGCGTCTTGTTGCTCAAGGGTATAACCAAGAGGAAGGCATCGACTATGAGGAAACTTATGCTCTGGTTACCTGACTCGAGGCTATACGCTTATTATTAGCTTATGCATGCTCACAAAACTTTAAGCTATTTCAAATGGATGTTAAGAGTGCATTCCTAAATGGTTATATTAATGAAGAAGTATATGTATCTCAACCTCCCGGATTTGAAAATCACGAGTTTCTTAAACATGTTTATAAACTTAAACGTGCTTTATACGGTCTTAAGCAAGCCCCTCGGGCTTGGTATGATCGGCTTAGCAAGTTCTTACTAGAAAAGGGATTCTCTAGAGGGAAGGTTGATACAACCCTCTTCATTAAGCGCCAAGGAAATCAATCCATCTTAGTGCAAATTTATGTTGATGATATCATTTTTGGGTCTACTAACATCACCTTGGTCAAAGAATTTTATAAAGTTATGCAGGGTGAATTTGAGATGAGCATGATGGGGGAG